CCAGTGCAGCAGCTGGGGGATATTATTTAGCATGAGTGACTAATATTTAAAGTAATCTGAGTTGCTCTGTTTGATTTACAGTGTTCTGTGACAGCCTTTATTTTCTGATGAAACCACAACCTGCTACAGGGGTGGCACAGCTGCTAACATGCTGCATTATTAGTGGATTGAAAAGCTACCCACAAACATGCCTTTCTTACACAAAATACATGCATAATATCTTATTTCTACCCCCTAAAAACATGACTCTATTAATCAATACACCAATCTAGATAAATCTACATTTATCAGTAAGCCCTTGCATATAAAACCACCCAGCTGGATTTTGGACAGTGTCTAAGGAAACACATAGATCTTTCTCTGAAGAAGCTGTTTACCAGCACTGCCTGGCACTCCTAGAAATACAATGCTGCATGGGAACTTCATCAAATCCCTGTAGAAAACTACCATATTACTCTGACTCTAAATAATAAAGCTATTTTTTCAGTGCATAACTTCTGCTCTTTATAGCTTTTAATGCCAGTGCTTCAACAATGGAATGTATTCTAGAATGCACAATCATTCAGTTTTCTACCATCAAATGAGGGCGCACAGGCAATTCAGGTGTATTCGAGTATTAAGGATTATTAGGACAACCTTTGCCAAAGCAAGAAGCAATACTATATGTCCAGCTTAAGATAGTTTCCAGAAGGTGGGCATGCATCACCTTGTGAAAATCCAATGCCTTTTAATAAGGTATTTCAAGAAGGGCACCAAAAATGAAGACACTTAGAACTACCACTCACTTTTGAAACTCTTGGTTTCCATAGCTATCTATTTTTTTAACTGACATTAGCAAGAAAAAATGAGAATTTCAGAACCTTTCATTAACTGTGCTTGGCAGAAGGCTCTGTTGTTTCGGGTCAAACTGAGTTTTTGTACCACCTGCACAGGTAATGCAACAACTAAAACAAAATTATGGTTTTTTTTCTAGGAACAATACTGGAAGTTTAAGCAGATGCAGGTCATGTGTAGTAAGTGTAAAATGAGACCTGGCAAAGGTCGCTCAAACTCAACAACCTCTCACAAGCATAACTGTGCAAGGGAGACTGTTCCTGCTCTAAGGAAACTAAAACCCATACAAATCCTACTCTATCCCATGAAGAAAGGCTGAAAACCATGGGATTCTTCAGTCTGGAATAGTGCAGGCTCAGGGGGGACCTGGTGGCTACCTGTAAGTACATAAGGGCACCAGAGTGCCCCAAGGAAAAACAAGGACCAATGGTCATAAACTCCTACAAGACCATAAACTCCTACAAGGCCATTTTAGGCTGCACATAAGAAAAAATTTCTTTACTGTGAGCCCCCAAGACCTGGAACAGACTCCCTCCAGATGTAGTGCAAGCACCTACTCTGGACTTATTCAAGAAACGCTTGGATGCTTATCTTGCTGGAGTCCTTTGACCCTAGCTGACTTCCTGGCCCTGGGGCAGGGGGTTGGTCTTGATGATCTTTGAGGTCCCTTCCCGCCCTAACGTCTATGAAATCTATGCAATACAACCACTGACACATTCCTTTGGGAAACACCTTCAGAAGAACCAGCCAGAGACTTCTGCTGCTAGTCGGATGCAAAAGAAGACAAAGGCAGGAGTTTCCACAACAAAGTTCTGACGGAGCTTTACTGCTCTGTGCTAATTTTCTGTTTGCTGCAACCCTATTCTTCCGTGTCCTTCACAGTCTTCACTTCAGCTTCATTTTTCATCTGTCCTTTACCCCTCACCATTTTCCCTTCAATGACTCCTTCTCCATGTTCCTTTCCATTTATCTTGTCCCTTTTAACTAAAGCAAACAAGCTTTAAAGAAAAAAAAGCCAAAAGAAAACAAACCCACTATCACTTAACTAAGAAATCTCATTTTTTTTGCAATGCCTGTATAGAATGTACCCCTCATATGCATCTCATTTACCTTTCTATTTAGACAATAATGTCTTTGGGTCACTGTAGAGTGCCTAGCACAATGACAACCCATTCTTGTTTGGGGTTTTTATGGCACTACAGCAGTAAATGTCATTCCTAATGATGAAATAATAATAATATTAATAGTGATGGAAGAGATCCAGGTACAGCATGCCTGACAAGCCAATAATAAAAAGGTCAGAAGAAAGTGGTGGTGCCCTTGGCCTTTGGTGTCTTACTACTGGAGTAGGACAGTCCTGTTGGGAGGATTGGTGAATCCTGTTAACCATACATGCCTAGTAAGTACTGAAGCCACACTTCAACTGCCTTCATAAAGCACAGGGAAAGAAGTTTATGCAAACTTATTCAGTTCGAAGTAGTTCTTTGAAAAGTATGTCAGTAAAAATAGCTTCCAGGCAAGACTTTAATAAAACAGAGGCTAATTAGCTATAACAACTGATTCTTGAGGTCAAGTGAAGTTACACCAGGGATGAATTTAGCCCAGAATATCCACACTTACCCATGTGAGACTTAACTCAGGACATAGAAAAATGTGTGGATCATATCACACCTTCATTCTTCCTAATGCAAAGCAAGAGGACTAATGAAACAAGTTACCTTGTTAAAAGGATAGCATCCATTTGAAAATAACATTTCTGGCTGAACATTCTGTGCCTAATGTAACACCCCTGATTGCTATAACTGGCAGAACCTACTTGACATTTTTCCCTCCCTCCCCAAAAGTTCTTTTATTCCTCTGCACACTTTGTGCTTTGCCAGTCCCACTGTTTCCCCTGTATCATCACAAAGGGCTGGCTTTTCAGGAGCTAAATTTGGCCAAGAAACACAATTTCCAGGTCAAAGAAAAAAATTGATTTTTCCATGATTGATTTCTGTCCAAATCAGAAGGGTAGAGAAGTGCAGGGTCCCAGCCCTGGGGAAGCCCAACTGGAGTGGATGCCCCAGAGTTGCCAATCCTGGAAGTACCTGGTCAGCAAGCTAGGAAAATAGGCAGGTTCCACCAGAACTTTGTCCTGGCTTCAAGACACGCAAAAGTTCCACAAACAAGATAGCTGAGCCCTAGTGAACCAATGTGTTTGTCAGGAAATTTCCTTTATCTCTGTAAGTCATCTTTAGCCCAAGTTCTATTGACCTTCAGTGGGATTTATGCTATCAACAATCATGGCATATCTGTAAGTATGTCTGGATACTGTTAAATCACACCAAATCAGGTAACAAAGGAAGACTGAAGCAAAGGAATACACTCAGAATACAAGCCATTCTTATATATTCCTTTAATATGTACTTTTTTTTCTTTCTTTATTAAAAGGCATTTGAATTCAGACATACAAAATATACCTGACAACTCCTCAACCTTAGTATTTTTAGACAGTAGATTTCTTACGGAAGCTGTAATGGAAGTGGATTGTGAAGAGGAATTTTAGGAAGAAAGAAGTAATACTTAAGCAAATCTGTTAAAGAAGGATGTTCCATGTATAAAGACTTTTATGAGAGAAGGAGACAAGTGGCCAAGGTTAACTTCACTTACTGAGGAAGCAGCTTGAATAAGGCTTTTTGAATGATCTCTAAGCAGCTGACAAGAAGCTTGCGCTTCATGAAAAATAAGGAGGTAGTGGAAGGGTGTGGTGAAGAAAAGAGACAGATAGACAGTGTGACTTGCCCTCAGCTGCCCATGACACATGTCGCAGAGGCAAGAAGCAGCAGCTACAGGAGGGAGGGAGAGCTCAGACTCCAGCTGCCAATTCAGAACTGATTTGGCCCTGGAAACAAAATTTTATTTAAATGGATTCCAGCTGCTGTTGCAGCCCCAGCAATAGAGCTCTGATCTATGCTATTACCTTTCCCAGAAGCTAACATCTTTCTCCAAGAGCACCTGGGAAAGAAAGATTTGTAACCAGGAAAGAGAAGGCCTGCCTGGGGACAATGGTTCAAGATCCCCATTTTGAGCAATTCCATTATGATCTATCAGTTCTAAGGAGAAGACTCACTGTATTTGTCCTGGGAATAAAACCCTTCTGCAGAAGAGCTTCTGCAAAGAGAGATTTCCACCTAAAAACAATTCCCTACCCAAGATTTTGTTACCAGAGACAATCTGGACAGCTGTTTTTTGTCTAAATCTGACCATTTTCCTGGGGCTTGGCTTCACTAGTAACTCAAACCACTGGCAAGACATACACCTCTCCATCTTCATTTGGTCACTCCTTATGTATCTCTGTAAAAACCCTCTATGCCATATTTTAGTGTCCTACAATCAGAGTCACACCCACTGCCCCATATCTCAGTGGCAGAATTAACAAGACCCATCTGCCACAATCAGGTAGCAAGCTTCTCTCTTCAAGATCCCATATCTATCCCTAGGTTATACCCAGGTCCCATGGCTTAGCAGGAACTGGATTTTTTTCCTAGAAAAGCTTGTGAAGGATTAGGCTTCTCCAGTGAAAAATTAATAGCTTCAACACTGTAAAGACTTATATATTGTTGCAAAATATCAGTTTATTATTGGCTATCATGGCAGAGACGATTACCACTGCACCTATTAAACAAAGGAACTGTGCAATACGATTTATGCATTTCTAACAAAGGGAAAAAAATCCCTGCATTTTTAATATACAAAGTGCATGGTTCATTTTGTTTTGATTAAAATTAACGCATTTTGCTGATGACCTTTGGGGAACAGTTGCTTCTTAAGCCATAAATGCACCATTGATCTATTGCACTTCATCAGCAAAACAAGGATCATTCCTAAGATGCCTCTGAAAAGCTACAGAGAGTCTTATTTCACAGGAGCACACTTTCTCACACAGACACCTTATCAGTCCATAAAGTTCCTACTGACGTAAGAAATGCAGAGATGCAGAATTTGCATAATCAGCTCATTTGCTGCATTCAGCAACAAGGGACATATTCTTGCTGATTCACACTCTCACTGGAAGGTTGCTCGAGTTAGTAGAAATTGCCATATTGAGATTCAATGGGCATCAGGTAAATTAGCTGGGCAGCAGCTAAATAAATAAGCAAATGAAGATATATGTAAGTTATTATTACCTTTGCTCCACAGACGATCAAAATGACCTTTGTCCAAAGGCTGGTTAAGAATCACGAGGCAAAACTTCAGGTCTCCTGTAAGAGAGATGTTGGTTCTCATTAACAAGTAAATTGATTTTTCCCTTTCATTCTCTTTGTTTTGCTTGCTGGCTACTATTCCTCCCCATTTAATTTTCAAGCAGGAACCCTGGAGCGGACTTCACTAATTCCCTTTCTTCTTAGGTTTCATCATTTCAGATACGGAGAAGCTGCCAGACATTCATTAGGCACAGTTTGCTTGGTAGCTTTCTATCAAGTCCTTTTCATTTATGAAGACTTATCAACTGAAGGCTGCCCTCACATAGGACCCCACATCTGTGTAACTCTCATATATAAACCCCGGTTCTGTTGTTGCCATCTATGCCTGGCATTTAGTGCTATTAGCTTTGTCCTGGGTTCTATTAACAAGGGAATCTGGTGTTGATATAAGGCCAAGTTCTCCCCTCTGATCTACACAGCAGATCTCGTCTCTGACAGTATGCTTTCCCCATGAACACACTACTCCCCCTGACAGTAACAGTACCTCCATCTGCATGGAAAATACAAAGAACAGGTAGCTAGGCCAAGGCTATAAACAGTGCTGGTTAAGTCCTGTCAGTAGTGGGGTATTAGCAGCCTTGAAACCAGCTAGTTCTCTTAGTTTTAAGACTTCTAATATAGTCACTTCTAGGGCTGCAATGAGAAGACTTATATCAGGGGTGTACATGAGGGTTTGTTTGGGGGAACATCTATTCACCAAGGCCCCCCAGGGGAGGACAAAAAATAATGGGCACAAGCTGACTGAAGAGCGCTTCAGGCTAGACATAAGGAAAAGGCCAAGCACTGAGGGTTTGGAATAGGCTCCCCCCAGAAACGGTAGTCATCCACCTTGGCGATCTTCAAAAAATGTCTTGACGCCCATCTTGCTGGGGTCATTTGATCCCAGCAGTCTTTCCTGCCAATGCGCAGGGGGGCTGAACCCAATGATCTATAAGGTCTCTTCCAGCCCTTAACAACAATAACTATGAAACTATGAAAAGGAGCCCTGAAAGCAATCACGGAAGTGACTAGCTCCTATCAATTTCGTAAAAGCGGTCTTTTGATAGCTGCTTACACTTCCTCAGTTCCCTGCTAATTAAACAGCATAGTTAGTTACAAAAAGATAGTTGCAGTTGCAATTACCCTGTAGTTAAAGAGTAGCAATGAAGTTACTAAGTAGACAAGGAGGCTAAAAGTTACTATGCATTTAACTGATACGTGCTTATAACGTAAGCAGCAGGCAACAAATTGAGTGCTATATTAAGCAGTTAACCAAATTATGTAATAATCCAATGTGCAAAAAAGGGAACATACTGTATTTGTGTGTATATATAGTTTCTCTCTCACTCTCCTTTTTAGCTTGTGTCTGTTTCCACGGTTATTCTATAACCTAAATCCCCCTGCTGGAATCAGGGAATTACCAGGACATACCCTCACAACCTCAGTTCTATCCAGTCAGCATTCTAAACTAGCTCTTGAACCAGAAAAAAAAAGAGAAAAAAACATACAAGATGTAAAAGTTTTAAAGTAAATGGAAACCAGATATTCCATATGCTGCTCCAGGGAGAAAATGCAACCCCCCGAGCTTATTAGTGTTAGATGTGCTGGGATCTGCATTTATTTCATTTCCTAATTATCTTGCCTATCATATAGAAATACAAGTTTCCCCTGGAGCTTGATATCCTTAGGCAATCAGGTTAATGAAATGTATTTGGTCATGTGAAGCCACAGTAATTGCAAGGAGAAATCCTCTGTTGCTAGGTCTTTTGGGCCTCTGAGCAGATTTAGCAGAGCAGGAGGTAAAGAAGGGCTAGAGGGAAACATGCAACCTAAGTTATAAGAGAGTGTAAGTGAACACAACGGTGTTGAAATCTTTCTGAAGGTGGATGAAGGTCTTGAAAAGAGGTTTAAAAACAGGAAGGACTATTAAATTGAGACACAGGTGAATGTGTCCTCTGAGTCAGAGGTCAGGCGTGCAAACAAACTTACGCGAGTGTCAGTATGTGATATAAGAAAGCACAATATGACACAAAATTCCCATGTTGGGGGGGAGGAGGAGAGCCATTAATAACACAAGAGTACCACCCAGCAGCTCTGCTATAACTGAGAAATGGTTGTCTATCCCTGGTAGAGTGTGGAAAGAGATTACCAGAAAGGAGATCAGCGAGTTTGGAGCCAATATGGTCTAGTGGATGGAGCACAAAGACTGGGACTCAAGAGATGGGTTCTTTTCTCAGGTATTTCATTGGCCAGTAAGCCAGTGCACCTCGCTCTGCATCAGTTTCCCTGTCTGTAAATTGGGATGATTATAACGAACTTTGTGAATAGCTTTGAGGTCCACTGATGAAATCAGTGTTATAAGAGTTTAATAGTATTATTAATAAGGTAGTGCTTACTAATAAAGCACAGAAATCAATTGTTGCTCATCTTGCATTCCATATGCTATGTGGAATCATATGGCCGTATGCACATATTTACTTAAATATGCAGTGGGCATCAGCATAACCTTGGCAGCTGCCACAGCAGGCATTCAATGAACACTTCCCAAATTCTAGAAACTGGTGGTGCTAAACCATTTGGGTGCTATGGGCCAAGTCAGTGGGGTGAGGCAGGTCTGTGGGCTGGAACAATACAGAGAAGATTAGCACTGCCTCCCAGCCCCCTGCATACCAGGATTGGGCCCTGGGGCTACATTGCTCATCTGGCTCGATGTGGTGGGATTGGGTGCCCTGTCCAGCATGCAGGACCTGGGGCTTCTCACAGGTTTGGATTTTTGGTGATGGGGGAGCGGTACCACAGCTCTCCTGATGCCATATTTCTAGACCCATGGGGAGTCCTATGGGCTGGATAACATGGGGCTACAAGCCGGACCTGGCCCACAGGCCAGGGGTTGAGTACTGTAGAACCTGGAAATTCCTTGATAGGACCTGCTCCCCATTCCAACTTTGTTAAAGTTACTGCAGTCTTCTAGCCAGTGCCTCTGTAACATGCACAAGGGCAGAAGCTAATAGCAAATCTGTGTGGTGGAAAAGAGGGGGTAAGGAGACCCCTGGGAACACAGGAAAGGTGGGTGGAATTCTCTTTTGTACCAAATTTGAACACGGTCTTTAACCTTGCACTTGAACTCACAGAGAAGATGGGAACAACATATTCAAACTAAGTAACAATTTGCAGCTGCAAGTGGGACCTTGGCAACAGAGCTGCTAATAATGGTTAAGCAAGCAAGGCTGCTACTAAGCACAATAGTTTAGCGACACCCTCCACTGAAACAGTTTACTTTGGCGACCAATCAAAAAACGAGCAAATACCAGGGTTTCTTTTATTCATACGATAAATATAAATAGACATAGAGACTGCAAGGTTACTGCAATAAGCAAATCACAAAATTTGTATATCCAGGCCCATGCTCAATCCTTCGTTGAATGTGCACATGGCAAATAAACCAGAGCATTATGAATTTTAACCTCTTAAACCTTTATACATTTTTGGAGGCACCTTCTTTATGTTAGAAAGGTACTTCTGAAAATGCTGGCTCTGGTTTTGGATGTTCAGACTGAGACAGAGGTTTATTTTCAAAGATACTAAACATCCAGTATTCCCTGCTAAAATTACAGAAGCTCATCCTGGACTGGCCAGAGCATGAACTGCATGCTGCACACATCCCAGAACAGCCATAATCAGCACAACATGTGGCACAATCTAGCCAAGAGACGCACTTCCTGTACTGTGCGTCCCATGGTGCCGCCCCAGCTAGATTATGCCACATGTGGTGCCTGTTCTAGGATCTGCACCACAAGCAGTGCCTCTTGTTGGTCTAGTACTGTGCTGCTCCAGCCAGTCTGGGACTCACACAGTATGCAGCAACTGGAGAACCTGGAGTGGGCACTACATGTGGCGCATGTCCAAAATTAGTGCTGGCAGATGGGAAATGAAGGGGGTGGCCTCTGGACACTCTAGCACAGATCCTAAAGTGGCCCAAATGGGTCCACATGCAGTGCACATCCCAGGCCCTACCCCCGAGACCAGGCCAGCACATGCGAGTCAACTCAGATCTAGAAACTGCATTAGGGCTGCCTATACATATGCTCAGAGGTGGATGGGGGGCATTTCAATTAGAGCAGTTCCCAGACAGCCACTCTAATTAAAATGCTAAACCGTCACATGTATTAAGCTCCCATGCATTTAAAAATGGCTACGGCACACTTTATCCAAACTTCACTCGACAAGGTTTAATTAAAGTGTCCCACAGTCGTTTTAACACACACAGGGGCTTAAAACACATGATGCTGCAGCAACACTGCAGCATTTTAATTAGAACATGGAGCAGACTCAATTAATTAGAGCGTGGAGCAGACTCCAACACGTTCTAATTAGAATGCCAATGTGCACGTGTATAGGCAACCTAGGAGCTTATCTTAGATGCCCATGACTGACAGTGAATCAAGATCTGGCCTAAATTCAGCAGTAACTGAAGTGGAGATCACTGAGGACTGTGAACCACACAGTACAACATATGGCAGCCAAAAACATATGGCAGCTAGAGAAAAAATGAACAATGCCATTGTTCCGTGTGCTCTGCTTCAATCTACTTCAAGGTAATTACTCCTTAAAAGCTTTTAATAGATTAGGAAGAATTTCCCTCATGGAATTCTTCCATTAGCCACAGAAACAGTCAGGAGCTGAAGATGAGCAAAACTGTGCTCTTTGGGATGAGAGAAAAGAGAGATGAAGAGAATTCCATAGACTAGCACCCAGCACAAAAAATAATTTGCAAACAGCCCCCTGATTTGGATACCTCCAGTGAGATGGCATTTGCTGACCTCTGTTGTTGCATAGGGGCACAAGAGAGAGCTGGTCCCTTGTGTATCTGCTTACAGTTTTAATGTAATTTTCCCTTTTATTATGTACTTTTCCTGCAGCTTTTGCAGACTGAGCAAATCCAGCCATCTGCAGCAGTGAGGAGAGAAGAATAAATCCTTGTGTACAGTACAAAGCTGAAAATATCAGACACAACTTAT